CCTAGTTTTTTAACTAGGATGGGGTGAGAGACGGTGTCAAAGGCCTTGCTGAAGTCCAGAAAGACTACATCCACCGCGACACCTGCATCCATGGCCTTTGTGACCTGATCGTAGAAGGCAATCAGGTTGGTCTGACATGATCTCCCCCTAATAAATCCATGCTGAGTGCCCCTGAGCATCATTTCTGCATCATACACTCCCATATGTACAGGACCCAACTTCTACCAGGAGAACTTAAGTAACACAGGTCAGGCCTTATAGTACAGCACTCTGCATGCATCAAAGGGAAGAAATTAACTTAGATTGATTAAACCAAGAAAAATGTGCATTCTTGGCACCAAACTGGACACATCATACAAGTAATTGTTTTATAGAATAGTATATGCAACGATGTTTTTAGTGCAGAAACACTGGCTAAGGCCAATACATGTGAAAGCTTGAGGTAGAGTATAGATGGTGCCTTGGAAGCACTAACATTTTCCCTTTAAGCATCCAGGCATTTTCATTCTTAAGTTTCTATGCCTCAGAATATCTGGTGGACAAAAATTTGAGAGGAAACATTTAGAAAAAGCAGTGTACTCTTGCAGGTTTAAGTATGTGACTGACTACCAAAGATATGCTGCAATTCTAGTCCTAGTTCTGCTGTGCAGTATGGGGTTAAGACATCATTTGGCTTCAGCCTGAGCATCCTTAGGGTAAAGTAGTAAGAGTTAAAGTAGCCAGGAGGTAAGAGGGGCCTGCAGTAGGTGGGCACTAATTAGTGGCAGGCAGCAGCTAAGTGGAGCTGAGGAGGGTCACCTGCTCCCATCTCCTGGTTCCTGCCAGCTGGTCCCTGTGAGCGGTGCGGCATAGCAAGGCAACCTGTGAATGAGCTGTGTGATCTCACAAGACTTGACATTCGACACAGAAATGCAAGATGCTCCACCCTGGGAGAAAGAGCCCACATCATACTTAGAGGTTCGGCAGTGCTACATTCACTAGTACCATGACCAAAAGAGACTTGTGGGTCATGAGTGATCACAGGGTGAACATGAGCCACCAATATGATGTTGCGGCCAACAAAGCAAATGAAACCCTGGCTTGCATTTACTAATGCATCTCAAGCAAAACCTAAGAAGTCATCCTCCTGCTTTACTCAGCTTTGGTGAAGGCAGAGCTGTGTACTGTGTCCAGTTCTGGGCTCCACACTTTAGAAAGGGCGTGGAGAAGCTTGAGAGAGTCCAAAGGAGAACCACACATATGATTAGAGGTCAAGAGAGCAGGCCTTATGAGGAGAGGCTGA